TATCCCCTCTCTCTGATATTCCTACACGCGGCCTCTATGGCCCGCTCAGTATTCACAAATAGTCCACTCAACTGTTGGACGCCACACAACCGAAATTCAACATTAGTGATATTTCGGCATCAGGCCAACAGATATTCTCATTGTACAGATCTCACGTCAAGCTGATCATTGAACTGGATAAATGAAACTAATGGCCATACTTGAAAGAATTTTTATCCCATTTTAAACTTCAGAAGACACCGTCTCTTTCCTTATCTCGATATATTAAACAAAAAGATATGCAGAAAGATAGATCAGAAACAGAAAACGTAGAACTACCACAATCACTTACACACGGTAACATAAATCCATACCCCTGTATGCACATTGTGTGGAATATTTAAAATTCGTTATATTTAAATTGCTCACTAATAGTCATAATGGTTTTTTTCTAATTTAAAACTATGTAAATATCTAAATTAACATTACATAAAGAACGTCGGTTTCACTCCTTAAGCGATCAACATATGATAACTTATTTGTCTTTGATATGTTTTACAAGATCGAAACTATTTCAACTTCTTTTTCCTTGTGCCGTGTTCGTTAAGGGATTTAGGTGATAACGTCTCTCGTTAATTAACTTCATAAATTATCTTTTTGTTATCTGCCTTAAACCTTTCAACGCCGACAAAATACTCAAGCTCGCTAGATAGGATATTCTTCTGTCGATCTTGCCTTCAGTCAGTCCTGTGAGTATCAAATTTCTAATCCTTGTTTCCTCATAATATTTCATAGAAATTTCAAACGCGTCTTCTTGATTATAGATATAAGTGTCTTTTCTGTTTTCATTTTCTCTAAAATTTCTTCGTTGCTCGCGTGTTTTATTCATGGTATTCTCAGCATCTATATCTAGATCTCCATTTATGATGATTTCAGTCTCTTCTTCATCTGTGAGGAGATTGCCCATATCTCCCTACCATATAGAAAGACAGATATTGCGTAAAAGTTTAATGTTCATGGGAAAGCAAGTTTTAGGAGATATAGCAAAAAAAAAAAAAAAAACAATAATTGTTAAGAGCAACAGAAAAATGGAAATCTTGCAGAGACATGATGGCCAATGCCTAGGAAATTTTTCCTCTCATATTGTTTCATGAAATAACGAAAAATAAATTTATATCACTATAATTTTTTCATGCAGAAAGATCATTCCTGTTTTAAGTAACTTACATTTTAATTGAATTCTTTATAAATTTCTCTCAATTCTTGCATAATTAATCTCAGTGTTCACAGCAAAATAATTTATATAAAATAATATATTGTAAGAGAGAGAAAGAAAAGAAAACGTAAATAAATGAACAATACATGTCACACCGTTGATCGATGTTTTAGTATCCAGTTTTGTACACGTGTCTATTTTATTGTATAGTTTGAATCATTGCCAGAATTCATGGCCCCTGGCCGCGGCCAATGGTTTCCATTGTCGAAAAGAAACTGCGTGTCGGGCCAAGATTTAGTTGTAACGCCCGTACAGAACAAGGCCTAAAAGAAGCACTTTTGTGTAAAACCATTTAGTTGCTACTTGCTTGGAATCTATGCATTGAATAAATCTATTATACACTGAACTGAGAACTAAAAAAGAATTCAATAGCCATAGAATGATCGTATGAAAATTGTATGTGTTTGCCAAACAGATTCCGCCACTTCTCCACTGACTTTTCGACAACCAAATGGTTGGAAATCTACTGCTTTCATTACTGTATTTGAATAATCCGAGAAGGTAAATTATGCTAAACGAGGATTTAAAGCAAAGAATATCGTCATTCAAAAATTAAAATCTGACACGGGTCTTTGTGCACAGTCACACACATTGTCTCTCTCTCTCTCTCTCTCTCTATATATATATATATATATATATATATATATATATATATATATATATATATATTATATATATATACATACATTTTATATATATATATATATATATATATATATACATTTTATATATATATATATACATACATTTATATATATGTATATATATATACATACATTTATATATATATATATATATATACATACATTTATATATATATATATATATACATACATTTATATATATATATATATATATATATATACATTTATATATATATATATATATATATACATTTTATATATATATATATATATACATACATTTATATATATTATATATATACATACATTTATATTTATATATATATACATACATTTTATATATATATATATACATACATTTATATATATATATATATTTATATATATATATATATATATACATACATTTATATATATATATATATATATATATTTATATATATATATATACATACATTTTATATATATATATATATATACATTTATATTATATATATATATATATATACATACATTTTATATATATATATATATACATTTTATATATATATATATATATTTTATATATTTATATATATATATATACATATATATTACATTTATATATATATATACATACATACATACATTTTATATATATATATATATACATATATATATATATATATATATATATATATATATATATATATATATATATATATATATAAAAGAAATATAATTTTAAGGTGTGCTATATTTATGGGATAAATTGGCCAATATCATATAGAGCGTCTGTAAATATAAAAGTGAACATTGAAGTCAACACTTAGACGCGACAGTCTGTTTCATAGACGTAATCGTCAGGCCACTTATATATATATATATATATATATAATCACGCAACAAAAATACAGTAGTCTCCTTTTCGTGTTTAATATAAAATTAATAGTAACAACTTTAAATAAAAATTATATATATATATATACATAATATAAGTCCTCATTTATTTTAAATGCAAAATATATAGTCTCACATGCACACACACACACACACACACACACACACAGATATATATATATATATATCTGTGTGTGTGTGTGCGTGCGCACGCGCGTACGAGCGTATGCCTGTTCCAATCGACTACCAAGTGAGATAAAACATTTTGCGGACCCATTTCGTTTTGTACTTCTTTACAACTCAACACGTGTTTCTTTATTTTTTCCCCCTTCGCAGCTTTAATTAAAATACATGTTTCTTGCAGAAGTAAAATAAAACAAAAAAACAAAAAAAAAAAAAAGAAGTAATTTGAAAAAAAAAATAACCCTGCATCTAATCGCATTCCTTCTTTTTTATGCCAAAAAATCTGCTGGAAATGTAAGTGCAATATAATGTTTTTTTTTTTTGTAGATCGCCTACAACTTCACTTTGCAAAACCTCTCAAAGTTTTTCGAGTTTTGTTGAGCTGACAAGAAGCAAGCAATAAGTCTAATAAGAAATTATCAGAAACTTATATCGGCCTCTGATATACGACATTACACCAAAATTAATGATTTCTGCACAGATAATTTAATGATGAAAAACTCACATAATTTGCTATAAACCTGAGAATAATCAACCCTTCAAATATTGAAATAAATGACGAATCCTTTATTTTGAGTATTCTTTTAAAAACCTATTATATGAGAGAGAGAGAGAGAGAGGGAGGGAGAGAGAGGAAGAGATAGCAAGAGAGAGAGTATGAGAGAGAGAGAGAGAGAGAGAAAGATCGATATTTGCTAAATGCTCAGGGGATGTTACCTGAATCAATGAATGTATGCAATGTTCTCCAAATGTTTTTTTTATATATAAAAACACGAAGTAGAAAAGTACTTTTAATACGGTAACGGTAATATATAGCATAATTGACTATGGTTAAATGTAATTGGCAAAAGTACCTAACAAACTGAATTGACAAAGTTACCAATAAACAATAAGAAGAATAAAGAAGAAAAAAATAAGAAACGGACAAATTAATACCAAACAGGCTATGCAGAGACAAAACTAGGCAATGGAACAGTTATAAGGCAAAAAGCCTACAAATTAAGACAGGCAAATGGGATATAGTCAAGTGATTTCACCGTTCTGACTTCAAGACAATAAAGTACAAAAACTATGGTGAATGTGACCGAGAAGTGTTCCATTTTTATTGGTTAGGAAGAAATCCCAGTATGCATCTGTATGATGTGTCAATAAATCTTGGGGTGAGACGTTTTTGCATTTATTTCTAATTAGATTGTTTCCAACATATCATAAGCTGTTTCCCTAAGAGGAAACTTTTGGCATTCATTGACAGAGCAGCAAATACTGCTTATGTCCTCTAAGTATTCATTAATATTTAATCAACGTTGATACTGGAGATTTTGATATAAAAATCATCAAATATAATTAATTATTTTTTTCTATAATTATTATTATTATTATTATTATTATTATTAGGAGTAGGAGGAGGAGGAGGAACGAATGAGTGTGTGAAACACTAGCATTCCAACAAATTGAAGCCTTATATACCTATCAATACACCATTCCTTATAAGAGTATAGCAGTCATATGGATTATAGGTTAATATGAAAATAAATTGTTTAGTACAAAATGGTTTTGAGACTGATTCCTACCTTTACACGAAGTAAATTCAGTGGAACCTCCTTACTCGGAATTAATTAGATCCAAGATATTGTTCGAACAAAATTTCTTCGAAATCAGAAACAACTTTCCCATGAGAATCAATCAGAAGCTTTGATCACATATTTTATTCTTCAGCAAATGGTTGGTTTCGACTTCAAAAATTCTCCACTATTTCAAAGACAATCATTGCCTTTACAGGTTTCGCTATTATTTTTTTCACTTCACTTGCTGCTGTCAACCACTTTCCAGTTGAGTTTGCTACTGTTAGTAACTTTCTTCAGATACATTATGACGTATATAATAATAATAATATAAAATTACGAATAAACGCAAAAGTTTCATTTTACGTGCTTAGAGTTAAAGGAAACCAAAGATTAACTCATGCATCTGAGTATTCGAAGGATTCCTCCTTTTCATTCGTCATCAATCAGTTGACGTCGTTTTCATTCGAGAACCAA